GGGCGGGGGTCCTGCCCAGGGGGGTTCTCTCCCCGACGGCGGGGCCAGAGCTGGTCTAGAAGAATCGCGGGAGGGACGTGCCCGGAAACGGCTCTTGCCAAACCCCGACGTCGTGAGCGCCCCTCCGCGGAAACCGCGGCCGAGCTTGGAGATCCTCGGCGGGCGTTGGCAGCCGCGAGACCCCGCGCACGTCCAGTCGGGGAAATCGTATTTCCCTACATCTTGGAGAGCGCTTTGCGAGGTGTGAAACGCCTCCCTCTATCCTGCCACACCTTCATTTGAGGTGCCACCTGAGATCCAGAAAGATCAAGTGACTGACACAGTTCCAACTCCAGCCAGAGTCTGCATCCTCTCCAGCTTCCCGGTCCGCTCCTCTTGGGGACACCAGGCTGGAGCCGTGAGCTCTTTCACCTGAAGGTCACTGAAGGCAGAGACTCCTCAAGCCAATTGCACCCGGCCCCTGCAGGTTAACCCCCCCGCCCCACCCGCACCCCAGACCTGCCTCCCTCTGTTTCCCGAGACGGCTCCACATGGAGTCGGATGGACGCAGTGGGGATCCGAGGAATCAAGAATGGAGACCCCAGGCACTCTCGTTGGCTCTACCCCTGGGTCTCACACACCCGAGTCACCTCTTCTCGATCCTTCAACACGGTCTGCCCGGTAGGGAGGGACAGTCCCATCCCAAGTCCCAGAGGGAGACAGTCCCATCCCAAGTGGACTTCCAGCACCAGAGACCCAACCCGTGCGCCCTTCCGCACGACGGGGTCACCAGCTCGGGCACCGCCTAAGCGCGGAGCGCGCGCCAGCAGAAGAGCCTTGAGTGCGGATCCCCTTTTCGGATCCCCTTCTCCAGCCAGCCCTGCTCCAGGCCGGCGCTGCGCCCCCCGCGGTGGACGTGGCCCCGCGAGGGGCCTGCGGCTGCTCCCCTCCCACGTGAGTCCCAGACCCCGCGGCCCAGCTCAGACCCCGGGACGGGGCAGAGGCTCGCTCTCGGGCCCCCTGGTGCAGGCCTTCCGGGAGGCTCCTGGTTAGAGGGAGAACGCGTGTTTTCTCTCGTCGAGCTGTGGCGACGTGAGCTGCAGCCAGCCATTGCGCGGTCCCCAGACTTGTTTACCAGTTTTAAGTCATTATTATGCACGGAACGTTATTTCCTCGAAACAAAAAGCAAATGCAAAAGAACACCTAATCTCTAACCCCATAACCTGTGTGTACGTTGTTTTACTGTTTCTCAGCTGTAGTTGAGTCTCTGAGGTTTCTGATACTCTGATTCCTGTAACTTTGCCCATGTGTCTAGAAAACAATGTGGACGAGTTAGGTTCTTCGTACTTACCGCGATTAAGAAATAAGGTGAAGCCGCAGGACACAATGGTTATCACATTTTTGTCACAAAGCATCTCAACGTTGTCTATGGTGACATTTCTCCAAGTTCGGTAACCTTCTCCTTTTGTATTGCTTTTTCCACGTGACTTCGTGAATATTCCTTCCCTTTCTTTTTTTGCATCCTCTCTCCATTCTCCTTTAATCCAAGGACACCGATGATGAGGCAAATGAAAATTGGTTACAAGACTCCCTGAGGGAATTAAGCGGCCCCTCCATCCCACTTCAGTACCTTCCACCTTTCATTTTTATTTGAGAACCAGACACTTTAGGGAGATGGGTGTCCAGATGTAGAACCCACCTTAAATCTATTAAAGATGAAGGAAATAAAAATCCAGCATAGTTAGCCCAGAATAAAGCCCTGGTAAAAACTGTGAAGGTTTCAAAGTAAAGAAGCCTTCATACATTCCAACTCAAGAGAAATTTAACCATGTAAATCTCATGATTAACCCCATAGGATTTCTCTGTGTATTATTAACATTTACGGAAAATCTTGGCAAAAAAATAAGCCTTTGATCACACCAACCCACTGCCACTTATTTCATTCCCAAACTATGCTTAAACCATGAATGCCATCCCTTTAAAAATCCACCTACACACCTAAGTTCTACCTTCAAAAGAACTTTGTAATTCTTTCATATGGATGAGGCTCCATTATGTAAAATATTAAAATTATATTTGTTAGTTGGAAAATATTTAGATGCTATTTCCATGATTTGATGATATAAACTAGAACACAAATTAGCAACCCAAAATGGCAGTTGAAAAGTTTCTCCTAGTCTGTGTTCCTAAGGGGTATTTCACAGAAATTATTGCAGAAGAGTTGAAAATTGTATGCATATTACTTATTTTATTTATGTTAGGGACATACGATTACTTAAATCTTGGTGCAATAATCATCCCACCTAGAAAAATGGCTGTCAGTTTGTTCATAACTGTTCCATGTTTATGTTATCATTTCCCACTAAGAAAAGGAAATGCTCTAAAGAAGATGAACCTGTGTGCTTTCTTCATATAGGGGATCGCTAATGGGATATTAGACATACTGACTTAACCCAAACGCAGGAGGTGGAAAAGTCCTAAAAGAAGTGAATATTTGAAGAATTTGTGCAATCTTCTCTTTACTGGAGGCTTGAAGCTTACACATGTTATCTCTTAGACTACGTAAGATAATGTTCTTCCATTACGCTCTTAAGGTCACTAAGAGAGAAAACTAAAGACCCTCTCTTATTTTTTCACCCTTTCTCTTGCCTCCACTTCAAGCCCTTAGCTTGTGACCTCATCATTGCTTCATCACTCATTTCCTGTGTGACCTGCATAAGTCAAGTGACCTCTCTGAGCCATTCTTTTCTCATGGGCAAAATGAAGGGATTGGACGAGATGTTCTGTAAGATCCTTTCAAACTCTAAAGAATGCTTACCAATCTATCTGAGCCCAAAGCCACCAATTGCTTTCTAGAACATTCTAACACCATCTCAACCAATTTGAAATAGACAAGGTGTAAATTCTGGGGTCACAAAGAGGAAAAAATAATGAAGTGAACAGATCTGTAGGGGAAAGGCTGAGGGGCCTTCTTTGCCGTTCTGCCCTGCAGTCAAGGGGCTGTTCAAGTCCTCATCTGCCTCATTTAGATCACTGTTGTGTTTCTGCCTTTACTATCTGGGCTTTCAGTTGCCCAGGGAAGTGTGGGGCTGAGGTGAGAGTACCTATGAGAGTCATTCTGAGAAAAGCCTGGGGTAATCGAGATCGCTGGGTAAATGGCTAAAAAGTACCAAATGAATGTAGGAAGGAGCAGTGGCCACAAAGACACGACTATCAGAGCACTTTCTCACACATTTCTGGAAATTTCAGAAACCCACTGTTGCTTCTTGTACAATCTGACGGAGTTTCAGGCTTCCTGACCAACAGGAGAAAGAACGAACAGTGCACAGGCGTATGAAAAAACGCATGATGTCGGAACTCTCCTCTGACACATATTTAAAGAGCATGCTGGTTTCCTTGTGAAAGTGCCGTTTTGACTGATGGCTTTTTCTCCCCAGGAAGACAAGCACCCCAACAAAAGTCACGCCCGGCTTCTGGCTTCTGAGGCCGCTGGTAGAGTGAGTGCCCAGCATCACAGACTTCTCTTGTAAATTTTATTTTATATCATGCAGAATATTCTAGATCTCGCTTATTCTCACCTTGCCCTTTGGAGAGGTGAGGGAGCTGGAGCTGCAGGGGCGAAATGACAGAGGTCTCAGGCCCAGTTGCAGAGTGGGGCCTGGCTCTCCAGTTCTGGCCTTTTATTCGCTCACTTACTCCGAAAGACAGAGGAAGGAAGATTTAGTTAGTCCCTATCTTGTGCCAGACGCTGTGCTAGGCGTTTTTACATGCGTGAGAACATTTCATATATTCTAGTCTATATTATGTGCAATGTCTCTTTTAAATGCTTTTAAAGTATGTTTTAAACATGTATTCCTTTACATGCAAAGCTGGGTGCTGGTCTACTGTCACTGGAACATATGCAAGTGTCGCATTTTTTGTTGTGGAGCTGGAGGTATCTGGAATCATTTACATTCTCTGTGATTAAGGGTATTTATTGACCAAAACGCGTGCACACACGCATACACACACACACACACACACACACACACGTCCCAAAAAACAGCATCAGTCAGGGATGTGGTTTATGCTGCTGGAACAGTCTTGCCTCTGTGCATTAACTGGCCTGAAGGAGATTGAATTGGGCACTGTGCAAATGCATAAAGGGCCCCATTGGACTTGTAACATAAAATAGACTAAACAAATTAAAACCGGGAGCCCCATCCCACATCAAAAAGGGGGTTTCATGGCTCAGCAAGTGGACAGTTTTCCTTATGCACACCCACTGCCTTAGCAAATACCCAACTGTGACATACAGAAAAGAAATAGCAGTGTTGGGGCTCTGTACAATCCAGCCTGCTTGTGGCTTCAAGATCCCCAACCTCCTTGTTTTCACTGTGTGAGTGGCTTCAGATGATCTTATTCCAGAATAAAAGATCATCGTCATGATCAAAGAAGTGAGTCAATTGACCGGTAAAGATTTGATTTGCAGCGCCCTCTACTGGAAACAAATACTGACTTGCTGTCAGATCTTTTATATAGTTGTTTTTTCATGGAAAGGGTGTTGGGAATACAGACATCAGGGTAAGGAAAGAATTAGGTCTTTACTAGATTTCAGATAATGATTTGTAAGCCCTGGTTTTAAATAAACGGAAATGTATTCATACCAAATCATTCATACTTTGAGTAACATATGGAGGATGTGTTTCTTTGAAAAGTAAAATCTTTCCTACTTTTTAAAATGAGTCATTACAACTACCTTTTTAATAGAGTGCTATGATTTTTTTCTTATCCCTTTAAAGATTGATTTTTACACTTGTAAATGCCTCTGCAATAGATACACTTGCTGAATTCTTGGAGGTTTTAATTTTAATTTCATACTACGTGGAGGAGGGACTCAAGGATTTTTTAGTTTCCCAAACCAATTTCTTGAGGAGGTAAATGTTTTAAAAATTATGCATAGAAGAAAATTAACTCATGATAAATAAAAACAAACCTCTGCTTACAGTTATTCATTCAACAAACATTTATTGAGTGCTTCCTATGTGCCAGGTGCTGTTGTAGGATCTGAAATACGTTGAACCAAACAGACAAAGCTTTGTTCCATGGTGTTTATTTTTCATCAAGGAGAGCCCAAAAATGAACAAATGAATATATAATGTGTCATGTGGAGGGAGGGGAAAGTGTAGAAAGTGACAACAAGAAGGTCAAGGGGGGGTGACATTTTATAGGGGAGGAGATCAGGGATGACCTCTTTGATAAGGCCACATTTGAGCACAATCTGAATGAAAGGAGTGGAGAACAGTAAGTGCAAAGGCCCTGAGGTTGTCTTGGCTCCACTTCAAGGGAAGAATAAATTATGTAAAGTTTGACCATATTTAACACTGTTGACTTGTCACGTCTAAATTAAGCAAGGAATACTAGTACTCCCAGATGAGAAACCACAACAAAATGATAAGTTCAAATGCTTACAAGTCCATGTGTTCCCCCAGGGATCAAACCCAGTTTCCCTGAGTTTAAGTAGATTCTCAATTTGAAGGGAACTGTAAAGGTCATCTGGTCTAACATCTCTCTGATGTGCGACTCCTCCCTCCGTTATCTCTACCCAGTGGTCATCCGGTCTGTGTTTGGACACACTCCTCACTCCCTCCAGAGATAGCCCGGTCCATCTTTGGCCTGCTCTGACCCTTCACAAGTCCATACCTACACTGAATGAAACCGGTGTCTCTATTCGCTAGAGTTGGGGTGAGCTCACCTGGCCATGGGGGGAGCCAGAAGGGACCCCTCTCCCTCTGCCTCTTTCTCCCTGCACACGGGGCCTCTGGGAGCAGGAATTGTGCATCTGTTCTAGGGGCTGTGGCCTTGCAGCAGACTCTTTAACGGACTTGCAGTAAGTGCCGCGTCTGGAGATGGACGCACCCGTCGTCATTCATCACTCTGACCCCACTTCCATAAAACCTGCTCGGTACAGGGCGGTTTTTAAGCCTTGTCCTCACAACAGTGGGACTGCCTCGCTCAGAGTCTTTAAACCAATGGGAATAGAGTAGTTCACTCGGAGGAAGGATCTCGAAGTTGTGGTGCTCTTCCCACCTTTCATTCCTTGCTTGGTTGGCAGTTACGCTGAAACCAGAAATCAACTGCTTAGGGATAACATGAAGGAAAAAATCTGGAAAACAGGGTCAGTTACAAACGAATCTGAAAACAATATAGTGCATTTGGCAAAGGCAAACTTCGTTTGGCTGGAGAACTAATGGCAACAGCTAACATTTACAGAGCACAGAAACTCTGCGCCTAGCGCTCTCCCACGTGGTTAACATATATTAACTCATTTAACCCCACAGCAAGCCCACGGGGTGGGCAGTGTTATCTTCCCCACTTCGTAGATGAAGCAACTGGTCATGGATGCGCAGTTAGCATATGTTGGAGCCAGAATTTGAACCCAGGCACTCTGGCCCCAGAACTGGGCTTTTCATCCCCAAAATACATTCCCCTTATAAATAAGTCTAGAGATCCCAGACTCTAGGAATCACGTATGGAGTGGGCAATTGAAGGGACTTGTGTCATTTATCAATGGAATCAAAGGCTAAAAGGAAAAGGAGGGCCAGGGACCAGTTCAAGAGTACTGAACATGGAAATTGTGACTGTACCTATTTATAGGATTAAATTTGAGAATACAAAGGAACGAGGATATTTGGAATGTGACAACAGCCACACCAATAAAGAGCTGACACTTACTGCCTGCTAGACCCTGCTAGGCTCTGTACTAAGTGGCTGATGCATTTGTCTTCATTCATCCTCATAAAATCCTATAAGGGAGTTGCTATCATCATATCATCTATGACTTAGAGAACTTAGCTCATTGCTTGCAATAGCTGGCTAGTAAATTGCAGAGCTCTTCTGTGATACAGCACATATATATCCTAACACGCACGCTATTTAAGAGCCAGAAGAGTTTACGCTCAAGATTGGGCTACATCAGGCGCTACTGAAAGCTAATGGTCATTTGTTTCCAAACTCACCAGCGGCCTTCTGGAAACTCCGTGGCTCTGCTGAATCCACATCTGTCCCATGGGCAGCATGCTAGAAAGGAAAGAATGTGGACTTGAAAGCCAGACGGACTAGTTCTCAAATCTCAGCCCTGCCACTTTCAGGTTCCCTCGCCCTCTCTCTCTCTCCTTCCTCCCTCTGTGCCTCAGTTTCCTCTATGCAGAAATGGGACTAAGACCTTCTCCCCGCCCCGAGTTATTGTAAGGATTAAGTGTCTCTTTCAAAGAGATAGAGAGACTGGCAGAAAACTTAAGAAATATTATTTGCTCCATCTCCCCCCATCTGGCCATCCGCCACCTGCTCAAAGGACTCATTGTTCATAAACCTTTGGTACAATCTTGTAATATTTTTGAATTCATGTCTAATAACTATACATTGAATCATTGGATCAGATCATATCCCCAATTTTGTTTGCCACGTTACCGTGGTCTTGGATCCTGTCGTCTCTGCTCAGTCTTCCTCCTCGCTGTCTTCTCCTCTTATCTTTCTTCTTGCTCTGTTAGTCAACAGTTCATCTTCTTGAAACTGCAAATAAAGTATTCCAAAACAAGAATGGGTCAAGCAGCCGGTTCATATGACGTTAAAAGGCTTCAAGTTATAATCTACTCATTGGAAGCAAAGCCTTCACATATGCCAATGCTGTATTACCTTCGGGAAACTGTCCATCTCTAAAAGTCTAACAAATTTAAATGCCCAATTGGAAAAGCAGACAATGGCACCAATAGCATGTTCCAAGACAAACTGTTTTGAATTCGCACCAGATGAGTAGTCAGAGAATTAGGTTGCAGCCCAAAGTAGTGGAAAATGGCATAATGGAATGAAGAGACTTGGATTCAAATCCTAATTCTGTTCCTTAATAGATTCTTTATAAGACAATGAACTTCTCTGAGCCTCAGCTTTACCAACTGTGAAACGGACACAATAGCTTTTTAGCTCTTAAGAATGAGAGAATTTAGGGAGAGGCAATAAACCCAGTGAAAGCTTTGACTTGGGTGCTAAAAAAAAAATCCATTTCCTTTAATGCTTCTTTTTTGTTTAATAATAAACTAAGTTTCCAATTCCAGCCCAAACCATGAGTCAAAGAAAACCATGGAAACAGGCGTGTTGTAAGGCCAGGGTATAATCGAAGTCATTGTAAGTTATTGTCTGTTTTATTCCAGGCATTGTGCTGGGCGCTATTTGCTTTCATATCTGCACTCTTGTTTCAAACTGCTTTGGGCTGTTGGAGAGAACAGAGCTACAAAAATTTAATGGATGGCTGGTATTTCTTGGGAGTCTTTTGTTGGTATGCCTTTAGCTACTAGAAAGAAGAAAGAAAGAAAATCTACAAAACCAGAAAATTCTTTGAGACAGAAATACCTCTTTCTTTTTCTCTCTTGACTCTGAGTAGCATAAATCACGTTGAATGAGCCAATATTTTCCAGTTTTTAAAAAACAGGTTTTTTTTCTCTACATTCCACTTTTCAACTAAAAGGAAGCTTTTGACAAATTTTTAGTAGTGAAAAAATATATATTTAAAGATCAGAACCTGAAGCTGACACTTGCCATGGTAATTTGTACACAGGAACTCAGTGAATTTATGGATTTCGGTCTGGGCTCTGGCAGGGACCCGAATATAAACTACGGAGTGACGTACCTCCCTGTTCCCATTCTGTAAAATGAATGTGATATGATCATGCACACACTTTTGGAAAGATTATATGAAAGTCATTACAGTTTTGTCCCTTTCTTAGCTTCTCGGAAGAAAAGGGACACTAAGGATTTTGTTTTTTGAAAGCAAAGGTTGTTTACAAAGCTTCTGAGTGACTGCTGTGCTCCGCAAACCGTTGTTTGCACTCCCTGGGTTTATTTACTTTGTGTTTTGTTACTCTGGAACAGGAGGAGACATCCCGCTGGGGTGAAGGCCCAGCCGCAGGCTGCTGATGCTTTTAAGAAGAAAACTATTTTTGTAAACTGAATTTTAGTGACATAGCAATGTGGGGATGCTAAGCCCTCTGGTGTGCACTGTACTATTAGAAAACTATTGATAACATGACTCTCAGCTAGAGAACCCTAGAAGTGGGACTAAAGACCCCAAAATCTGTCTCATCGCCAAGGCTGCAGGAGCCCTGCGGAGCCAGCTTCAAAGAGTGATGCAAATTGAAACATTGTTAATATTGTTGCTATTCTATCTGGAGCCCCAGTCCTGGGCTCTTCGCAGAGCCCTTGCTAGTGCACTGGCAACTTTATCTCAAAGCAACCCTCCTTGTGTTCCTTTGAAAAGTAAGATATTCACCTTGACTAGGGGCTTAACAAGAGCAAATAGTTCCCAGGTGTGGGCCTTGCTCCGCACCATAAGTATAAAATGTATTTTTGTGTTCTCCCTACAGGAGGCCGCGAGAGGGGAACTTTTCACTTACTTGTCTGTGTTTTTTATGGTGGCATTCTCTAACTTTCACCTGACATTCAACTTCAGGGCCCCAGGCCAGGAATTTTAATAGTAAAAAGGTCACATGTAGTCACGGCCTGGGAGCAGAGGAGAAAGGAACTTTGCAGTTTATTGTGGGAGAAGTACACATATTCATTTACTCATTTATAAACAAGGTATATCCTCAGGCCACCAAGTTGGGGGTACAAGCAGGGGACAAATAAATGGCGCCAGCATCGTTCTATCTGAGCCCCTCAAGTTTCTTCTCTGTGTTACAAAAGTGTGACTGTGTGGAGATTGGGATGGGGGGGTGGGTGTGGCGGTTAATTTTATATATCATTTTGGCTGGGCCATTGTGCCCAGATATTTGGTCAAGCATCATTCTGGATGTTTCTGTGATGGTTGTTTTTTAGATTAGATTAACATTTAAATAGGGGCACTTTGAGTAAAAGTAGATTATCCTCATAAATGTGAATGGGCCTCATCTAATCAGTTGACGGCCTTAACGGAACAGATGGCTGATCTCCCCTAAGCAAGGCGGAATTCTGCAAAGGACAGCCTTTGGACTTGAACTGCAACTTTGCCCAGGGTCTCCAGCCCGCCAGCTTACTCTGTCGATTGTGGACTTATCAAACCTCCACCATCGTGTGAGCCAATTTCTTAAAGCACGTGCGCGCACGCACACACACTCGTGCTATTGATTCTGTTTCTCTGGGGAACCCTGACTGATGGGGGTGGTTATAAGGCATGCTTTATAAATGTCACTTTCCTCTAGTTCTTTTGTGGCTGTAAACACAGTCTATCACACCTAATCTGGGCTCCCACGACTCTATGCTTTGGCCTCCTTTGCCACCGAAGGAACACTGGGAACCAGGCGGAATTCAGGAGAAGCTGAAATAATCCAGCTTCCACAATACACAATACGGGCCTGGTGGCGTTCCCACTGCCAAGACTGGCCGTCCCTTGGCCAACAACTGCCGTTGACTCTTCTGGAGGTGACGCCATTTAAGGGGATGAACCTGTGGGTGGGGTTCATGGCCCATCTGATTCCTGTTTTCTGCTCTGGTCTTTCTTCATATTATTTTAGAATACCACAGTATTTTATTATTAATCACCAAAGACAGAAGGATTTTTAAAAATCAGTCAGTATATTTATAAACTGCCCTGTCGCCGACAGCCACAGTTTACCCATCATTTCTGACACTTTGGTGTTTTACCTAGCACCTATTAGTTTCATTTCAGTAAACATACAGTCATCAACAGATGCTGCAGACAGCATTGGCCTCACCTTCCAGATATGTTCTGTATTTGATCCCCTCCTGCCTCTCTGGCCCAAGCCACCAGGCTCAGCTTGGCTCCAGGTAGCCCCCTGCAGGGCCTCCTCCTGGTCCTCCTGATTCTCCTCTTACGCCCGGCCATCGGCTCTCTACACAGAGGCCCAGGTGTGAGCTCCTGGAGATTCAGTCAAGTCACACCATTCCCTCACATAGCCTATGCGCTTCCCACTCCCGCCTTCCTCCCGCTTTGTCCATTCTACTCCCTTCCCTCGCTTTGCTGGGCACTGAGTGAGCTGTTGCTTGGACTGGCTGAGCACATCCTTTCTTAGGGCCTTTGCATCATTGGCTGTTTCTTCTGCCTGGAATACTCTTGTTCAAGTATTGGCCACGTGTTTCTTTATTTCTTCTGGTTTCTACTTCGGGGCCCACTCTATTTTTTTTTTTAAGATTTTATTTTTTTTCCTTTTTCTCCTCAAAGCCCCCCGGTACATAGTTGTATATTCTTCGTTGTGGGTCCTTCTAGTTGTGGCATGTGGGACGCTGCCTCAGCGTGGTTTGATGAGCAGTGCCATGTCCGCGCCCAGGATTCGAACCAACGAAACACTGGTCCGCCTGCAGCGGAGCGCGCAAACTCAACCACTCGGCCACGGGGCCAGCCCCACTGCCCACTCTATTTTTAAGACCACTCGCTCCCCCACAGCCTCTCTACCTGCTTTATTTTTCTTCATGGTACTCACCATCATCAGTATCATCTTGTGACTTTCCACCAATGTCACTAGCTGTCCTCCCACTAAAATAGCACCATGAGAGTTGGGACCTTCTCTGATCTCTGGCAGTCTCCCCGCCCCTAGAACAGAGCCTGGCACACAGTAGGGGCTTCATAAGTATTTGGTGAATGAAAGATGAACGAAAGGCCACAAACACAAAGTCTATCTCTGAATAAGGCTGAAATGAATATGTCTTGCATAAACTCTAGATTTCACATAATCTGCGCTTGTCGATCAACCAGGAAGATACTGGAATGCAGCCCGTTTTCTGAACACCTGAGAATGGAAGAGTGTCTCTTACGGTTTAGAAAGGCTCTTGCATATGAGAAACTATGAGATCTCTTGCGATGGACCACTTTGCCTTATGAAAAAACACCTCCAGTCGTTTGATCCTTGCCGTGGTTCCAAAAAAAGGCTGGAGGCCAGAGCTGCCAATTATCTTCCTTTTCTCCCTGAAGCGCCCACACTTTCCAAAAAGACAAACAAAAAAATGTTTAAAGCATTTTTTGCTCATAAGATTTTTTTCATTCAGATTTTAAAGTAGATTGAAGGCATCATTGAAGCTTTATCTCGAGTCACCTTAATAGTCTGATTACAGTGCCGCACTACAGACCAGCACTTGTAGAGAACGCATCCTTTAAAAATAACCCATTGGGACTAAAATGTCCAGAAGGCTGCCAGAAATAGGGGTTGCTATCGGGTGTAAGCTCCAGTCTGCTCAGTTGACTCTGCTGTCTTAGGTCACAATTCAGAGCAGAGAATGTGTCACTTCCACTTGTTGCACCATTCAGAAAAGCAAGATCCTAGATGAAAGACTGACAAACTACCATCTGGTCTTTAACAACGCTACTTTACCATAATAAGGCTTGCGTCGCGTCACCCAAATGATTGAACCAAAATTTAGGTTTAACTTCCGCTTCCTGTTTAGACTTTCACCAGCTATATGATGGTGAACGAGTGATACAACCTCTCTAAGTTTCCCCATGTTAAAAGAGAGAGATAGAGAACTAAAGTTCCCATTAGGCCCTCTAAATCTAATATTTTCCATTCTCTTTTCATTTCTCTCCTCTACTTACATCAGGGGAGCCACCTAGGCTTACGGATAAGAGCTATTCTGATCCCCTTCAAACTCTATCCTCCTCCCCACCAAGGAGAACATTAACCACAACATTAACACTAACTACTTAGGAGTCCATTAGCAGAGATCATTCTAATGCTGCTTCAAAGATGAAGCAAGGAATTTCCTTTTGGAAAGCAGGACAACAGACAGGAAATGCAACCAGGAACATCCATCGTAACTTACTGCCAAGACCCAATCTGATCCGTTCCGCCATTTCCCTGGCTGGCGGGCCAAGGGCAACGTTGGAGGGACACACGGCTGCCCCCTCCAGCCAGGGGGAAGCCAGAGCGATTCCATCCCTTTTGCTCCTGCGTATTAACCACGATGCACCGCTCTCCCGCCTAGCGAGAACTGGGGGGAAATGCTCATTTCTTTATTCCTACTGC